CGCTTGGCGGCGCCCTATCCGAACCGCTTGAAATGTCCATCCACAACGCCTGCCCCAGCTCCAGAGCTTCCCGCTGCTGAGCGAGTCTTACTCCTCCTCCTGTTCCTGTTGCCCTTTGGTGAATGCTCCGCGGCCAGCGATGAGCTGCAGGCCTGAGGAGGAGGAGAATTGCGGTGGATGAGTGGGGTAGTTGTAGGAGCAAGCAGCGCTCAGGCCATGGTCATCTTCTCATTGAGAGTGCTGAGGTACTGGAACAGGTTGCCCAGAGAAGTCGTGGAGTGCCCATCCCTGGAGGTGTTCAAGGCCAGGTTGGATGAGGTTTTGGGCAACCTGGTGTAGTGGAGGATTTCCCTGCCCATTTCAGGGGGGTTGGAACTAGATGATCTTTGAGGTCCCTTCCAACCCTAACCATTCTATGATTCTATGATTCTCGTGGGTGTATTTGGAGAGCGAACGCCGCCGCCGCCGCAGCACTGAGCCCCCGTTTTGCCTTGCAGGTGCGCAATCTGTGGTTTCCAGTGCAGGCAGCGAGCATCGCTCAAGTACCACATGACCAAACACAAAGCCGAGGCAGAGCTGGAGTTTGCCTGCGACCAGTGTGGGAAGCGCTTCGAGAAGGCCCATAACCTTAACGTCCACATGTCCATGGTGCACCCGCTGATCCAGGTTCAGGACAAAGCCAAGCCACTGGACCCAGAGCCCATTTTCCTCCTAAACACTTCAGGGACTTCAGAAAGCCAGGTGGTAAAATCAGAAGTGATTGCAGAGCAGGAGCCCACCTGAGGGGGACAGGGGTGCTTTCCCAGTCCAGCCCTGTAGAAACCATACGGCAGAGTGGAGATTTTTAATCTACGTTTTAGGCTCCCAAAGAACTCAGTGGAATTAGCTTCAGCTTGCTCAGAAATCTGACGGAATAAAAAAAAAAAAAAAAAAAAAAAAAGCTTGTTATCATGCTGTGATTCTCCATGCTCACGTCGATTCAGCAGTGTTGTACTAAAAGTCTGTCTAATCCGAGGGGAACGGGTGTTGGGCAGCACCCCTCCGTGGTCCCCCTTCTCCCCACGCACTCAGTTGTAGAACCAGAGCTGGCCACAGCCGTCCCCTGCCTGTACAAGCAGAAGTGCCCTCCGAGGGCTGTAAGGGTACATAGGACAGCGGAGCAACTTTAAGCAGACATTTTCTTTTAAAAAAAGAAAAAGAAAAAAAATAATTAATGATTTCCAAAGCAAGTCTAAACTGAAATTTGTAACCTACTTTTTATTGTAACAAAAGCTTCATGGTTATGCTTGTAATAAATTATTTACAAAGTAACTTGAAAGAAAGGTAGGATGGTGTCTGTCCCGCCAGCCGCAGGCGGGGTGCGTGGCTCAGCTCGCTGCTGCCCTGCGGGTCGCTCAGAACAGGACCAGCTCCTCGTCCAGCTCCATGGCCGCAGCAGGCTTGGAGAAGTGCAGGAGGGTGGCTCCCAGCTCGGGGTCGAGTTCTTCACACGTGGCCAGTAGCTGGGGAAGGGGGCAAGCAGCTGGTGTTAGACCTGCTCAGAGTTACAGCAACACGATCGTTTAGGTGCTTCCAAGCAACGTGCAGGGAGAGGAGAAGCTGGTGCTGACTCTCACAGAAAGAACACGCTCTCCTGGCTGATAACATGGTGCTTGTGGGAAATGTCAACACCTGCCACGTGCTTGATGGTTCCCCCCAAGACCAAGCATTAAGCAAGCAGCAGGAGCAAGACTTGCTGAGAAGGATGGAGCCTGCAGCCGGGAGAGGGAGGATGTGGCTATAGCGGTGGCTGGGCAGCAGGTGTCCTCCACCGCTCCCTAACGCCTCGCGGAAACGCAGTGTGTGGCACAGGGTAAGCAGGCAGCACCAGTGCAGGATCAGTGCCCGAGAAAGGCTGCACAGGTAGAGCAGCACTCCCAGAAGAAGAAATAAAGAAAAAAAAAAATCTCAACGCACCGGTTGTATGTTTCCAAAGCTTTGGGCAGGGCATCGTGGGATCGCATCAAGCAGGAACCGCCGGGCCGTGGAGATCATCTCCAAGGGATCCCCCTGGAGAACATGGAGAAGAGACATGGCCAATCAAAGCCAAGTGCAACGTTACCTTCAGCTCGGCCTTCAAAAGCGAAACAGGAACCGCTACCCTGTACCCAGGGGCTACTCACAGGTTACACGGGTCACTTCAGCGGTGACCACATCGACCCTGTGGTCTGCACAAGCAAGGCAGCAGCAGGACAGCAGCACTGGCAGCTTCTCAGCCCCACGGTGTGAGCAAGCTGCCTGCCTGCAAAGGCAGCCCCACAACCTGCCTCTGCTTTGTGCAGGAAGGTGGGAACGAGGGATGCTGCAAGTGGCAGGGGAAGGGATAAAGAACAGGATTCACAGAGAAAAGAAAGATGGAGCTTCACTCACGTGCTCTGTGGGGTCTGGGCTTTCCCCTGCTTGATCAGACTGTGGCAGGTCTTTCCCTTCCACGAAGAGCCGAAGCAGCTGGGTGTACAAATGGAGCGCCGCGGCGAGGAAGGTCGGCTCTCTGGTGAGCAGCTCTTGGCGAAAGCAAGGGGTGAGGCTAGAGGAGGTCACACACCGCGTCTGGTTAGCTCTGCATCCGTGGTCGACTCAAACACAGAAGGACACAAGGCAAACACAGCTGGTGCTGCTGTCCCTTTTACGAGTCCCGTTGCGTGCAGGGCTGCCCCCCTGCCAGGAGCAGGAAGGCAGCCAGGGACACTCTTGTTTAGAGCACAAAACTGAAGGGAAGCTTCTAGCAAAAGATACAGGGCTCCTTAAATAGCAACCCTGCCCTGACCAAGCATTCTCTCCTGCACAGCTAAGGTGAGAGCTCACCTACAGCCCAGCAGCACGGTTACCTCCGTGCCAGCTGCCGTACGTGCAAACCCTCAGCCACAGCCTCCCTCCCCAGCACCTCCCCTCTGAGCCCAGCACGACGTTACCTGTAGAACGCAACAGGCAAGAGCCGGGTGTGACGGTCCGAGGCTGCGCTGCGCAGGACGTGGTATTTTACAGGGTCTGCAATAGCCAGAGAGCAGCACTAAGCATCTCCAGTGGTGCTCGTGCCACCTTGCGTCCTTCTACTGTGCTGCTGTTTTCGTCCAGCCCACAATAAACAGTAGTGCTTGGGTGCGGGGACCCCTGAGAGAAGGACACTGTCTCCTCTGGGGCTTCCTCTACCAAAGGGGACAATACTCAGTTTCAGTTGTTCCTGATCACCAGCTGGGTCACCATACTGCAGGGCAGAAGCAGGATGTTCCCAACTTTTACTCAAGGAAGTATTTTTTGTGCTGTTTACAAAGGCCCATCAGTTCCTTCTCAGATACACTCACACTGAACCACTTTCCAGCCCTCGGTGCAGGACTCGCTCACCTTTCTCTGCAGAATGGAAAAGAAGTGGCCAGGACGTGCCCCTCTCTTCCAGGCATTGCAAGATCTCCAGGGACCATTCCAGAGATGTCTGAAAATCCACTCCTTCCTGGGTGTCAGAAAGGACAGGTCTAGTTTGAGGCTTTAGTCGCATCAGAGCGGAAGGGAACCCCTTGTAAGAGACTGTGCACGTGAAGTGCTCTATGAAAGGATCTGTTTGCTCAAGATATTTCTTTCCTCAGTGACACTTCCCCCAGACTCTCCCAAAGACAGACTATGAGACCCAATGATTATCTTTAACTTCAGTCTGGTCCCAGATCCAATCCGTTGGGTGACTACACAAACAGCCGTGCTTCACAGCTGAGACGACAGCAAAGGGACAGAAACAAGCACCCGCAGGCAGGAGGATGCTCAGGGCAGACAGCTGCGGAAGAAACTTGTCATCTTTGCTCCTTCATTTAAAAGCACTAAATTGTTTAGAAACTGGTGTTCCTTCTCGCCGGGGACCCCTTCTCCTGGGAAATACCACTATGTTTCCAGCCTGAGGAGAAGCGTCATCTAAGAAACATGAAACACTACACAAGAGCTACGAGAGAGATGAGGTTCCTGCACCACCTGGGAGGTGCAAAGTCTGAACAAGGAACTGAAAAGATTAAGTCATTCAGGAAGAGAAATAAAAGCCGCCCTTGTGAAAGGGGAGATAACGTCAGTTAGAGGAAAACACAAGTTTAATCTGATAGGAACAGAAGGGCTTTCAGGAGGCTGCGTCTGGGATGTTGCTGATCCCTTCCTTCTGGCAGAACAAGCTACCAGCCTTCACGGTGCCAGTACAAAGCACTTCTAGGCAGCAAACCAAGTGGATCAGGCACATTCAGTGTCATGAGAATTCCCTCAGGGCTGAGTTTACCTTTGGTGCTATTTTTGCTGAGACGAGATCCATGAGTGAGAAGAACAGCAGAGAAACAAGAAGCTGCAAGGAAAAGAGAATGCCTGTTAGTTACATCTGCGGTGGTGACTCAGGACTCGCGCTTTCCAGTCAGGATACAGCATTTCACAAAGTATGTTCCCAGGATGGACCTGGACGAAAAAGTGCTGCTGTTCCTTCCAGGTGAAGGCAGTGTGTTTGAAGACGACAGACTGACATCGTGCATTGCTTCTAAGGGTAAATTCCACACTAAATTCACTGTTCTCGAAGCAAGGCTTGCTGCAGTCAGCAGGTCAGACAACAGAAGACAACTTCTCCCAAGTACAGGGATAATGGAGTGAGCTACCACAGGAATAAACCTGGAGGAGAGCTAATGTGGGCCCACAGCCAGCATGTCACCAGCAGGTGCTGTGCAGCTGCCCATCTCAGCAAGTGCACCATCATCCTGCCCTGACGTATGCTTGTTACCCTTTTTCTGGATCCATACCACATCCCTTCCTGGCGTCCTCCTCCTATCTCAAGGCAGACCTTTTGAGGTGGAAGCTGTATTCCACATGTATCAACTCAGCAGCACCGGTCTGTGACTAGCAGCTTTTGGCTCCAGACCAGTATAAACAGTGGAGGAGTCAATCCTGTAGCAAGAGGAGCTGCTACCGTAACTGCTGCCCGGAGCGATAAAACTTCAGAGTAAATAGGAAGGCACAGGCTCCGCTTCAACACCATTTACCTGGGAATGTGTCAGTACAGGGACACTCCCCGTACCGAGCTCTGGACCTGGCTATTCCCTGGAAGATCACGGAGAGGACTGCTGGGCAGCAGCCCGGCTTCCTCCTCAGAGCACTTGAGGGAATTCCCATGCACAGAGGGCACTGAGCATGGCAAAACGGAGGAGGCACTTCCTGGAACAGACTTGGGAAAACTCTCAGGAAATCTGTCCCTGGGATTCCCAGCACTTATTCCCAGAGTCCTGAAAACACCTGCACTCCTGTCTCACAAACTTTCTGCATCTCCTTAACCTTCCAGCCAAGTTGCCCGAGCTAAAACCCACAAGGACTGCTCCTTTGTCAGAGGGAGAGGTGATCCTGGCACGCCACGGATTGAGCTCTCAATCTCTGCAGTGCTCTCCCCAGCTTCAGTTTTTAAAAATAGTCCTCCCTGACTTCACAGAGGAGCCAGCATGAGTTAAAAGTTGAAGTTTGGAACAACTTTGCCTCTAGGATAAGCATTTAGCAACTGGTAATTTACGGCTACGTTTTATCAACTAGCCAGCAGCAAGATTTCACAACAGTGTTTAACCAGGGATACAGCAGTATCTCAGGACAACCATTTCTCAGTTAAAGACATTCTCCTCCTAGTTTTCAAGCGTAGGGAACCTCAGACATTTAAATTGTGTCCAGTCTTGCCTGCTCTGCGCCAGTCCCCAGCCTCTCCAGTGCGTTCCTCTCTCGTCCGCATGGTGACTGCTGCTGCACAGTACAATGGAGGAAGGCAGCCGAAATCCAAGGAGGGTCAGAGAGAGGGAAAATCACTCCTGAAGCAAGGAAGCTAAGAAATAAAACCAGCATGTCATGGTTTTGGAGGAAAAAAAAAGAAAAGAAAAA